GATCTACCAACCGACTGCCGGCTGGAGCGGCTCCCGCTCGGCTTCTTGAGCGAGTAGGTGAGGACGTAGTCCACCCGCCGCTGGCCGTCCTGGAAGAAGAGCCCGTGCTGGCAGCGCGTGTTCTCCTCCGGGGTCAGAGCCTTCAGCAGCTGAGGAATCCACATGGAGACAAAAAAAATAAACAATAAAAATAACATCTCAGGACGGCTTGCAGCTAGCAGCCGAAACATGTCAACAAGGTAAAACACTCTTGTGGATTATTGTTGTTGTCTGACCCGAAGAAAACTAAAAGCATGACTAACACAGACGAAGACAAGAAGAACTTAATACAAGTTAAAAAACATCTATGAAAGATGGAAAAAAAACATCAAAACACAAATATCTGACTTTTGATTCTAAATGAAATATAAAAAATATATCTCTCTATATTGGTCTCTATATATCTAAATATCTCCTTGTTATATATTATAGTTTTCCCAAACCTGGTCCTCCAGGTATTCGTCTTTCCAAGTTTCCAAAGCTCCAGCACACCTGATTAAAACAGCTCTGAAGACGGCGTATAAACCTTTATATTTACATTTATATTTATATTTATATATTTATTATTATATTTATATCTTATTATATAATTATTGTACATTTTATTATATTACATCATATTGATATTATATATATTTTTTATATTATAGTTATATTTATGTTTATATTTATATATGTATTATTATATTTATATCTGATTATATAATTATTGTATATTTTATTATATTATATCATATTTATATTATGTATATATTTTTTTATATTATATTTATATTTAGTGTGCTGGAACAGGGACACTGATTTGTATCCCTGGAAAAGGAGATCCAGGACTTCTGTCTCTGGTCATTTACCAAGTTAAGGAACAGTTGTCGGATCTGTTGTAGGAAATGTGAATTTGGATGTAACCGATGAGCTGACGTGCATCAGGTTTGGTTTCCAGACCAGCGAATAACAGGGGGAACCAGGACCAGAGGGTTCTGGGCATTCATAAAACTCCAAATCACAGCAGATTTAATTTCAGGCACCTCAAAGATGTTGTCCCATCCAAAAAAGTTAGAATCTAATCTGTTGTAATGGATAAAAAAAATTAATCAATTCAAGTCCATTAACCCTTTAAATTCTGATCTAAGTAAAAATATAAAATGGTACATTTTCTTAGTCGGATACTTTATTTAGCTCTTTTTGTAAAAGAATAAACAGAAATATTTTTCTAATATTCATAATTTATTCCCTTCGGGTTCTCCGGCTTCCTCCCACCGTCCAAAAACCTGCATGTTAGGTTGTTGGACTCCAAACTGCCCTTAGTGTGAGTGTGTGTGGTTGTTGGTCCTTGTGTGTCTCTGTGTGTCCCT